GTTATAATGGCCGCAATGCACCGAGCTGTTGAGCTCACTGCGTGCAAAGCGCTGCAGTAGGAGGCGACACACATGCAGACATGTTGGAGTCTCTCGGTTTTATTACTGTTCTGTTGCCAGAAAACAAGAGGGAGAATTCAGCACGTTGCACAAAGACGCAGAGAGACAGAGACAGAGACTGAGAGGAGGGGGTTGGAGGGGGTTGACGGTGGTGGGTGGGGCTGGTCCGGGGGGGGGGGTGAAGCAGTGGCCGGAGGCGATCTCACGCGCACACGCACGCGGACGCAGCAGGATGGATTAAAACAAGCTGCCAAATATTGAAGGTATAAGGAAACAAAACTCCTTTGTTTTTTTGAGCGTTTCACTTCAGACAACTTGGATAGAAGCCGGATGCATTTAGTGAAGTATTCCTCCTGAAAAAGAAAAACAAGAGTGAAGAAAAGCAGGTTTTTGCTCTTGGATTTCTTCACCTGACGACGCACATTTAATCCAACATTCAAGAACGTTGCATAATAAAAATTCACTTTGAAAATAGGGGGGGGACATGTATTTCCAGTTCAAGTGAAACCTGGAGAATACTCTGGTAATAATGAAAGTTATGACAGCGACAATGACAAACTTCCTCTTTGAACCTCAGTTTGGCCACACAGCCGCATGGATTATTAAAAACTGTACACACACACACAAAATTACGCGATGGGGAAACCGCTAATGGCGATCTCATCCACATGGACCACCAAGGCGCCATTACGCACGGGGATAAAATGCACTCATGAGGGTTTTTATAACTCTTTTCTAGCACCTTTAGTAAGTGGAATGGTATGCGCCCGGGACCGGAGGTGTTACTGTATGAAACTTTATTGCAACTTTGCACCATAACAGTCAATTCAGAACATTACAGCGTGAGATTTTGAAATCAAGTCTCATAATGTCTCCTGAGATTTTTTTTTTTCAATTATTCTTGAATTGGATAATTAATTACTGGATTAACGAGGAAAAAACATGTTGGAATAAAACTAAAACTAAAGCCAATTTTTGAATAATGAAATACAATTCGAGAAATATTTGTCAGATTTGCATCAGAAATTATGACAACGGTTCAAAATATATCTTTAGTGTAAATAAAATGTACTTATATAATTAAATGATTTCTCTGGACGAATATTTTTACCTTAAATGACCACACTTCAACAGATGCATCACTGTTATTTTATTAAATACTAATAATGGGACATACATTTAGAGACTTTGAACACTAAAATAGAAATTTGGATCAAATAAACATTAAAATAAATTGACAATCCACAATTTCTTTTGGATCAATCGTTTGGACGTGTTATTAAACCATGATTTCAATAATTGGAAATTCATTTTAAATACACCTCTGGACAAATACCAACATATTTCACTAATAAAATAAACCATAAAGTTTTAGTGGACTTTATTGTTTCTTTGAAACCTGTGATTTTCAGCGAAGAAGATCTTCCACCTAACTTCAAACACATTCTCTCATCGTTTCCATAAGTACTGAAATGTGTCACAGCTCCTAATTCTATCTCCCTAATGTTTGTTTCCCTGAACTCAACACCAGTTGTCTACAGCATCTCTCACCACGTCAGTGCACAGTGCTGATCTGACAGAAGCAGCTTGATTACTATTGCATTCTAATATCAATGAAATCTCATCAAGGGCACATGTGACCTCCCCTTGGTGGCTCCCTCAGCATGTGTGGCCCTCGGCTGTGCGCTGTCAGGGGAAACATTTGTGCCGAAGAAAAACGTGTGTTTGCCACAGGCTGCACTTGCATGTGTGAGCTGTCAGACATGTCCATATATGTCATTTCTCAAACATGAACAAGTGTAAGTAGCCATGGAGGTGGAGGTGAACTGCTGAACTTGAATGTGATCCCTGCATGGCAGAGCATCCCAGCACCCTAAATAGAGATGGTGCCCGAGCCCCTATAAGACCACCCTTACCCCTGCAGAAGTCGACAGTGTGGTGTCAGCACTTGTCTCTGGGGTGCTGCGATATGGGGTTGAGATGGAGGTCGGGAACTGAAATGCATCCACGGAAAGACTTCAGCAGCTGTCCGACACTTAGTCCGGGCCTGGACCAAGTTCTCGGCTGCATTAGCATCACTCACTCTGTCCATTCTGCTGTAAACTGGGATGAAATGACGGAGGAAAGGCATCTTTGACAGCTGTGGACTTGTGAACCCTGGCTGACCTGCAGACCAGAGGCAGGACTGGCCTGCATGGGCTGCGTGCTGATTCCTCCCAGCCAGTCATCACATCCTGATAAAGCCTTCGCAGGCCTCGGTGCTGCTGCGGTACAAGCTCACCTTGACCTGGAGACTAAAAACTGGGCCTCCAGACATGGGTCTCAACAAAAAGATGGCGTAACTGTCAACACTGGGAATCAGACTTTGATTTGAACAGGAAAAACATTTGCTCAAGAACCATTCACAAAAACATTTGAGGATTGTCCTGCTTGAAATGGAGATTCTGAAACATTTTTGGGAAAGATAAATAAGATTAATACTGATTTCCTAAAATGAAAGCTCTGTTGTTGGCAGAAAGAGGAGTTACTAATTAAAGCTTGTTAACACATGAATTGAGGTTAAGTCAGAAAATAATGTGTGAATTTGGTCTTTAAGATGATTTTTTTTTAATGGAAAATAGTAATAAGATTACTAAATGTAAAAGATTTCTCATTTGACCAGAACATTTTTACAAACCATTGTATGTGTGTGTGTGTGTGTGTGTGTGTGTGTGTGAAACTAAGTCAGGCCTTTCCATTCAGATGAGTCATGCAGCCACTCTTTCTCTAACAGCGATGTTGCTCACAATTACCAGAGATGTCAGATCACTCAAGCTAATAACAATAATCACCCCGGAGACCTGCTCCTGCTGCTCGTCCATTCACTGCAACTGGGATTTAATAACAAGCTATTTTCTCTCACATTGCTATCCTGCAATTAAAACCCATCAGACACCTTGTATCTGATAACCCCCGACTGTCCGCGTGCATTGATACAGCCAGACTTGCCTTTATCATCACCCTTCAACACATCTTCCCCAGCTTCTCCATTCCCTCCTCTCAGCTTGTCTATTTACGCGAGGAGCCTTTTCTCTTTCCCTTCAATCTGCCTATTTGATAATTGGCCCCCGGTTTGAAAGGTTCCACTATTGTCTGTCCAACTCCACGAGCCATTATTCTAATCTGGAGATGTGAAATTGCCTATAATTTTCCCTGATGCCCTGTCACTTAGTTCAGCAATGCTTGCCTCTTCTTCCCCTGTCCCACATGTTTAACAAGGCACATAATCATCAAGAATGAGGAAAAGGGCAGGGGGTGTGTATGTGTGCATTTATATACATATACATATATGTGTGTATATAAGGAGATGTTAATGTATCACAGTGCTTTTTATTATGTGAGAAAACCAGCGTGGAGGATGAAGACACAGGACTCTGGTGTGGCTTTGCTCTTCAGTGAAACACAACCAGGCTCCACACCTCCTGAACCTGCAGGCCCCAGTTCTCTGACTAAGGTAAGACAGGACACAATGTGTAGACATATGCTGTAGAGAGTCGTTTGGATGTTGTTAGTGCAAGATGGCACGTTCCATTCAAATGCAATAATATGTGACACTATGCAGAGTGGTTCTCCTTCTAAGATCCAAGACCTCCCTGTGAAAAATATGTGATTAAAGCTCAGTTAGTTTACTGCTGTTCAGTACAACCAGTTTGTGTGCATGTATTTTTCTGTTGAAGCATGAAGAGACCTGAAAACTAGTTGTGACGACCCTTTAAAATGTGATATAAACAACTGTATTCTAATAGATGTAATTCACATGTAAACATGGACGGTTAGTTATTTCTCTAATCCCTCAGTATGACATCATGTCAGACAAATTGTATCTAATGTTTGCCAGAGAGTCAGGACAGCATGCAGACGAAGTGATGGAGGAGAGAGGATAAAAAAGAAGCCACTAGATGATTCGTGAACGCACTAATCAGCTTCATTAACAAGAGCTTAACCCGCCATTTAATCAAGAGCACCAGCTCACACTGCGGCGAAGTGTCTGCGAAGATGTAAATATCTCGTTTTCTTTGTTTAAACAGTGTACAAGCCAGAATGTGCTGTAATCAGTGCGAACGACCATAAATCAGGCACAGTTCATTGGGGAGGATGGCGCAGCCGTTTGTCATTTTACCGCCGTAGAGTTTGAGCTCCGCTGGAGGAGAAAGAAGTTGAAAGTCTGGCTCGCTCGACCGATTTGCTCCCCTGCTCAGAGCATGTGTCCCCCTCTCTGGTGGAGAAAACAGGGATGTTCCTCGCTTCTCCAAACGCACAAAAATGTAACATTTGAAATATGGAATATATTTTTAAATTTCAAACTATGTTTTTGTTGTCAACCTGGATTCATAATTCAGGGAGACAGTTGGAAAGGCATGCGACGACATATTTTTCTGTTAAAGTTTGGCTGTGCGCAACCACTGTGCGTAAAATTCACTGCAACCCCTTGCGTAATCATACCAGGGACTACTTTTTCCCTCGAGTTAGACGCCCTATGTTGGCTTTAGTTTTAAACTCATAACCTTAAAACATAAAACCAAGACAAGCAAAGGTTATTATATATGCAACCGTTTATTTCTTTACTGGAATCTTTCAATGGATGTCTTAAAAATCACCTCTCGGGGTTTGGCGTTAGCTGTGATGATTTACCATCATTTGTGATATACTTATCACGCTGATGTTATCAAACTCTGCACACTGACACCGGAGATACTGTGTTTTTATCTCCAGATCAGTATCGAGAAGAGTCTCACAGTTGTATCCGGTTGTAATTAATCTACACCCGCTCTTTCCTTGATCTGTGAATGAAAAACAACACTCGCATGTATGCATTTTCAAATATTTCACAGTGGAAACAATACTTCACGGATGAAGGAGCAACCCAGACAAACGTGCCAAACAAGAAATCAATCATAACGTTACGTCAACAGGTATTTATTTGCATAACGCTCGTTTTCTTGGATCATGCAGCTGAAATTTTATGGCCTGTAAGTAATAAAGCACATGAGATATCTTTCACCAGTCTCTTACACCAAATCCACATTTTACACAGATGAGGCCGTGCAATCCAACCTGCAGCGACATTTAACAAATCTATAAAAAAAAAAAAGAAAAAAAAAAAGAAGCATTTAATGCCTGGTAAAATTTTGCAGTGAAATTATGATTCCAAACGCACAAGAAAACAGTGAAGGTCTAAGAAACACACATTTAAACACAGTCCTGTTCTGAGAGGAGGCCTTGAGAGAGACCAGTGAGTTCAGCTTCTCGTTTACAGGCCAGAGCACCGGTGGCATGCCCCAAAAATAATCCACTCACATCATCTGAGGCCTGGGCACCGCGTCCTGATGATGGGCATGGTGGTTTGGGTACCAGTGACCAAAACTGTTCATGTAATTGTTCGGGTGCATCGACGCGCCCTTGTTCGCCATGGATACCTCCCAGAGCTGGGGCATCCCGGGCGAGCAGGGGGAGATGGAGCTGGTGCTGTGGAGATGCTCCCCCTCTGATCCGCTGCCATGCTTCATGATCTTCTTGTATTTGGAGCGCTTGTTCTGAAACCATATTTTCACCTAGAAAAAAAGAGAGAAAATGCACATAAGCGTCACAACCATCAGCGACAAAATCAAGGTAATAACAGTGCGAAGGGTTTTATGAGCATATTTCCCCTTGGTAAACGTTTCAAAATTGGCCTGAAGTGAATGCAATAAAAACAAAAAAAAAGAAAAAAGAAAAAGAAAACTCTGCATAACTTTAGTCGTCTGTGTTGCTTTGAGAAACTCCCACACAGACCTGATCCTGGCGCATTGTTATCCATGGAGCTTCATGGTTCAGTGGTATTTGTAATCTTTTAAAAACGGAGCTCCCTTATTATTGTTTTTATGAGCTCAATGGTGCATGAGTGTGACAGCAACAAGCCGAGACGGAGAATGAAAACAGAGCGAGGAGAGCCTGGATGGTGGGACACTGACATTTCTGCTGATTCAGAAGAGCGTTTATATATGTTTTATTTTTATATAGTGTGAGAATCAAAGTGGCAGATGAATAAACATCTGAGCGACAGCAAGGAGAGAAAGACTGTGTGTCATCTGCAGATAATTGGCGAAGTAACCGTTGAGGGATTAAAGACAAAAATGCGCAGGAGGCAGCTCAGATGACAGATGACTGGATTCATCTGTTTATCTCTTGTTTCTAAAGAAGTGTGAAATAAAACCAGACAGAGAGAGAATGAGAGGAAATGAATTTAATATATTGAATACTGATATATGTTATTTTGTGTGTTATATATTCATATTCTCCACACACATACACCTTCCGCTCACAGTGTTGGTAAAATTGATGTGTGGTCATTAGATATATGCATCTTTTTTATAATTTTGTGTTATAATTATTGTATTTTCTTATTCATATATATTCCGTCCTATTAAACAGTAATAATGGTTAATTCGGTGATTTAATATTTTATATTCGAACATTTTGCATCAATCTAAATTAAAGTAGTTTGAAAACAATGTGACACACTGGATTATGTTGAAATAGAGGATATTAAAAAGGTAACTTCTTGGATCATAGTATTTCTGGAGATCAAGTGAAAAATCAAATTGTTGTGATTGTAACTCAATCCTTTAATCCATGCTTTATTTACTGTACTTATGTGAATGAGGCACGACCGCAGTTAATTTCTTTGCATTTTAAAATTTTTTCTTAGCATTAATTCATGATCCATAATTTATAATAAACTTTTGCAAAAACACGTAGAGCCTCTCAGTTTGCAGGCCAGTAATGACTTTATGAATTGAACTGCAGTCATGCCTCATTCACAGGGAACCTTTCATGGAGCAGGTCTGACAAAGGAAATGCAACCTGGAAATTAAGTACAGTAAATAAGGCATGCATTAAAGGATTAAAAAAGAAGTTTGCTTTTCAATTTGCCACAATTCAACAATACCCTTCATTACTCTGTGATATGTTTATGCAGAGTAAATAATAGTACTTACATAATAACTATTGCAACCCTGATATATGCTGTTAAATAATTATTTACTTTGGCCACATTATTATAATTGTTATTAATAAAATTATCAATATTACTATAATAGTTATAATACTACTACTAATAATAATAATACAAATATTTGTTGTTATTATTATTATTATTATTATTATTATTATTACAAGATAATGTTTATAGGAGTGCAGGGGGAGTTAAAGGCCCACCTGAGTTTGGGTGAGCCCCAGTTTGGCCGCCAGGTCGGCGCGCTCAGGTAGGGCCAGGTACTGGGTCTGCTGGAAGCGCTGGTGCAGAGCCTGCAGCTGCAGACTGGAGTAGATGGTCCGGGGCTTCCGGATCTTCTTCCCCTTGCCATTTAGACGAATGTCCCTGTTCTCAATCACCGTGGACTTCTCTCGATCTTGTACATTAAGTCAAAAAGAGCAGAGTTTTGATTTCATTGTTTTAATCCTCAGGATCTGCTTAAGGACAAACAGCTTAAGACACAGACATTGACATTTAAAAAGGATTTAAACTGCTCTAGTCTCCTTAATGTTTTAGACAAACAATTCGTAGTCTGGCACCTCAAACACAAGGAGAACTGCATGGTGCCTGCACTGTAAAGCACGGGCCTTGCACTGCTTACTTTAATATTATCAGATCCCATAAATTATGTGAATATGGTTTTAATGAATTAATGAGGCTTAATGTTTTTGTGAAATATTTCCTAAGTGTTGACATCAAGTAGCCTATGTTGAGTCATGTTGACATTTTCACTCTACACAACACAAAATGCCAAAAATCGTGTTGAAAGTGGGACATCGGTGCACAGAGATGAAAAGGAGTCCTGCACCAACACTGAGGGTGAAATTTAGTTTTTGAGGTAACGTGGACTATAATTGGACTCACCCACAGAAAATTATGGTCAATAAAATTAATGGCGCCGTCTGCCTTCATTATATAACATGAGCGGTAAATAGGGAGCATCCATATGGGCCTTGTTTGGACTTATGAGTGAGAATCTGCCTGCTGCATGACGTTTATTTATATATAGCACCATTCGGACACAAGGCATAATACACTACAATTGACTTGTGTTTATTAACTTACCAAACCATGAAGTGAACTGTTTTTATCAACAGGGGGATTTCAGGGAAATTGCGCGACCCGTGCGTAATTGCGCACAAGTATGATTGCAAACAAGAATTGTATAGCCTTTAACAACACGATAATTTAGACCATTTATATTCGACTGTGTCACATACCTGTCTGCTCTAATCTGCTGTGGGCCAGGCTGCTGCTGTTGCTGTGATTGCTGTGCTGGTGGTAAGGCATGTACGCAGACGGGGGATGAGAGTTCACCGCGCCGGGGTAGGCGTAGCCCAGAGAGCGGCCATAGGACGAGCTGCCGGGGAAGGGAGTTTCGTGCTGGGAATGGCCGGCGGCATGCAAGCCATGGACTGGATAAATGTGAGAGAGTCCGGGGGAGTGCTGCTGGTGCGCCGGGTGTCCGTGGCCGAACTCTAGAAAGGCCGATTTGGAGGGATCTGAGGCATTCAGACTGTCAGGCATGAAACCCATAGACATCATTAGCTAATGTACGCGAGTCCATAAACCCGTCGCTCTGAAGAGGGTTTCATGAGTTCTGTCGGACAGCGACGAAAACCACACGGAGCAAATCCACACTATAAGTCCAATTCAGTGTTGGCGAAAAGCCGTTGTGCGCAGTGATGGAAACGGTGTGCATGTTCACAGCTGCAAGGAGGCAGAAAAAAATCGGATTAAAAGCGAAAGGGATCCTTCTTTACATCATTGGAGGAGCTGACATGGTTCTGCCTGCAGAGCCTCACACACACTGCCTTCCATCTGCGAGCTCTGTGATTGGTCTTCAGCAGCCGGCTGTCACTGGAGCTCCACCATTAACTTCATTAACATATGATACAGGATGCAGGGACCTCCTTCTATACATACAACTAAATATAATACGAATCTTACTCCGGTTTAGTTTACAGTGCCATGCAGACAATTATATCAAATTTATTCTGCTATGTCGTCCTGAAAATAAACCTGCAGGAGGACATTTAATAGGCAAGATCACGGAAACCTGGATATAATGAGAATAATTATAAAAGTGATACTAAAACTAAATGTTTCATTAGTTACTGTAAATTTTAGTTGTGGTTAAAGAAGCAAAGCTCTATAATTACATTCGACGAATATATGCGTAAAGCTCTTTTATGAATATGATATAAAGGGAACTGACAAGTGCAGTGACTAATAAGTTATTAGCAAGTTATACTTAAAATTGAATTTGCTGTCAAGGTCCAAAAGGAAATTTAAATTCCATTTTTCATTTATAAAGTTTGTGTGGTCAAGTCACACCAATTCTTTATTTTCCTTTTATTATGAAAATCCTTTGAATAGAATAATTCTACGTTATTCTTTGAAATTCTTCAACGATGTCAAACACGATAATTTATTTATTATTTTCTGTGTATTAACAATGTACTAAAACAATATATTCTGATATTGCACCAGCTAATGAAAATCACAATACATTGTAAATGATTTATGTGGGCAAACACAACATCCAAAATCTTCATGATAATTTTATGATATTCTAAAAAAATTTAATTGCACAAAGGTTTAACAGTAAATTTCAAGATAATAATTTATCATCAACCGACAGAGGTTAGGTGTTTAACAGTTCACTCTACAAACCATTTAAAATATGTTTGTGGTTGCTCACCACGGTGCCTCAAGCTTGATTCATGTTACCAGATTTTACTGCTCATCCAACACTCAGGCCATGAGTCAACATGCAAATTAGTGACCTTAATTATGAAATTAGGCTGCATTGCATCAGCATTTATTAGTAGAAAAAAGTAGAGCAGGTCAAATACAAGTGCAGGTTGTTTATACTATTTGAATGAACTATTTTCACAGAGAATGACAAACTCTGTACCCCAAAGAATGTTTGATTTTAGTTTTATATACGAAAAACAAAAATACTCAGCCCACATGTCAGTCATATTATTTCTAACTAAACGTTGGGGTTTCATGAAATAAGGGGAAACACAAACTTGCCAGAGGAGGGTGGGATTGCGGTGCACACTGCAGAGTCAGCACAAGTCACAAAGGTACATGTGGATAAGTTGTGGGACGAGGGGGGAGAAAACTGGGCCTCAAAGAGCAACCCTGTCTCCATCTTGGCCCCTTATTGACTCAACCCTTGAGCAGGGAGTCAATCCACAGGTGCAGAGAAACAGTGAAAGGAGGAAGTGTGTGGATATCCTGAGATGTTTTCTGTAAAATCTATGAGCTGCAGAGCAGTTTGATACAGACTTCACCTTTCATCCACATGCATGCTGCAATCACATTAAAAACTGGGTGTTTGGTGGGTTACAGCGTGGTGCCGAGCTGCAGTCCAACCCAATCATTTTGGTCATGTCCTACCCTGCCTGTGCAACAACTGGGAATCCAGCAGCACTGCAGGCCTGCTGGAGGTTGGACCGCTTCCCGATTCCTCACAGGCCTCAGCAAAGCAGTCGACCAGTACAAAGCCACAAATTGTTATCATAGTAAAATTTTAGTCACAATAAAAAAAAAAAATTTAAAAAGCATGTTCAGAGGCCGGATTCAAATTGTGGGCAAGAAGTTTCTGACTTCACACATGAGGCCTGTAAATCCTCTCTGGGGAAATTACAGATTGTGAAGCTGTGGCTATGTCTATTAGGAATTTACTGCAGCATTATTGGTGGTGGGATTATGGTGGCAATATTTCCAGCATGGCAACAAGTGAGTTGCTTTGGAAGCAGGTGTTTAGAGGCTGTGTTATCAGCAGGAAAACAACCTTTAGTTCACGGCAGAGTCAGATTTTGCTGAAGTGATGAATGGGAGCAGGGAGGCCCAACAGAGATAAACAGAAAATCCAAGCCTTTGAAGACAAAGAGGCCCATGGGCGTATATGAACAGAGCTGAATGCTGAGGATTGAGTCCTGGATGTTCATATCTGTCAGAGATAAGGTGTGGGCACGAGGGGTGTATGAGGCAGAGGAGGAGAGAGAAAGGAAGGTGAGGAGAAGGCTCTTTAAGGCTTGTAATTATGTGTGTATTATGGGTGAGGAACAAAGGCGGGCCCTGCAGTTATAGAGCAGGGATGGGTCCTTGCTGTGGCTCGCTGGATACACGCAAAGGGATGATGGGGAAACCAGGCATACTCCTGAATGAGGCAAAGACTCACTGGTGTCTCCTCTGTACATGTCTGCGGTGTCTTGGACATAGGTGTGTTTGGTCTGTCTTTCTCACACACACACACACACACACACACACACACACACACACACACACACACACACACACACACACACACACAMACACACACCAGTCGTGTTTGTCGATCATGCAGCTCTGATGCAGAGTGACAGCATTCTTTGTGTACAAACCAAGAGCACATTCCCAGGCAACTGACTCGGCTGTGATCTTCCCCACTTGCACGTCATGTTTTACAAGTAACACTCTGTTGCTGCATGGGACCATCCGAGGCCAAGACTCAGACTGACAGTCCATGACCCTGACAGGATGCCAGGATTTATTATGTTAGGCTCAGCTCCCCACATAATAGACAAGAATAAAGACCCACATGTCCCATTTCAGCTGCACAGTATGATGGCTGTGAGGCTGAGGTGTGGTTTGACAAACTTATGGAGCCCAAATGCATCGCAGAATTAACCTGGGGACAAAACATGAGGAACATGAAAATACAGAGTAAGCACAAAACCTATTTGTCTTTTACTGTGCAAATAACAAAGGGTGGTATAAAGGGTGGTCATGTATATTTACTTTTTTATGTGTTTTTATTTCATGAAATTAATGTTTTGTCCTTATGTATCATGTGCTTCCCTGTTTTGTTCTCATGCAAAAGTGAGCAGGTGTCTGTCACTAAAACACCAATACATTGTACACCTCAGATGTTTTCCAATTCATTTGCATCAAGATATATGCAAACAATAGAACTGACTTTTTTTCTGTCTTGTGTCTGCCTCAGGGAAGAGAGGGGCAGAGGAGGAGCCAGAGCAGTGCAGAGGATGAACGGCCTAATCTCTCCTGTAGGCGCCATCACAGGAACACTCATATCTCCACGAACAGCGTCTCATTCCTCAAGTGCAGCCATGTTGCTGCTGATGTGTGGGTGTGAGTGAGACGCCTGTGCTGGCAGCATCTGAGGGCCCAGAGAGTTCACCGGTGTTACATGATCAGCATCACTCCTGTGTGAAGTCTCAGGAGCAAACAGATCTAAGGTTTACACATTTGGTCATGGAAATATGTGATCGTATAATTCATTTATCTAATCCAGGTAGTGTCCTTTATTCCTACTGTATGAGCATCTACAAAATGGATTGAATTATTTATTGGTTATGGGATGGTGTACTGGAAATGTATATATATAACATACTAATAACACACAACATACTATGAATTGATAGCTTTAAGAAATACAATTTTGTGTTATGTTATAATATTAATAATATTTGCTTTATTTATTTGTTTAATTTAATATTTGTTATTTGAGGCAATGACTTATTGTGTTGTATATTACACACATACATACATACATATACGTAAACATATATGCAAATGAATGCAAACTAATATTAATGTTATATTTTAATTAAACTTCCCCACTTTCTTAATTATTAATAAGTCTATTTGAATTTGAATTCAGTATTGTATTAAGATTAATGCATTTAGGTGTTTCTCTTTGTGTGTGTAAATATTAAACGTTTCAATACGTGTTATTTTGAAAAAGTAATTATTTGCCATTGGCTTGTTCTGTTTTTTATTTCTTTAAATTACTTTTTCTGTGTGAATTATGAAGTGAATTAATGAAACATTTTTATTTAAATTATTAATTTCCGGTTTTCAGTGAAATCAAGAAAGGAACATTTAAATAGTTTTTGTCACTGTGTCTCCGAAATAAGGAAGATTCATATTGTTCGTGTCATTTTACTGACCCTGTAATTGGGAGTAAAAACTGTTAACATTTTAAACCCAAATTAAATCCCATTTATTTATCGGAGATGATATTTGTCACCACTTTAAAAACAAGACGAGAAAAATTGTTAGAGCTGAAGGAGCTGTGGAAAGAAAACAGTAAAGTAGTAGAAGTAACAAGAAATTTTAAAATGAACTAACTCCCAACAGTAAAGTGAGTCAAATTGAATAGAATCGCGTGGGAAACGTCGGATTGTGTCTGATCTTTTTTGGTTTGAGCTTTGAATTCATTTCTGGTATAATTGTTGCCAGACAGATGGCGACAGCAGCATCGCCCACTGCCGCTGACTGTTGGACTTAAACTTTTAATTGATTGGTTGGATATAGCGGCCTTGGCAAGTCCGGAGAAATAAAAAACGTCTGGACTCCGTTAAGCGTAATACGCACAGAAACCATTCTGCATGATGGTGCTGGTGGTGCAACCTGAGCCCGGTGTCATACGGCGCATCTGATTTAAATGGATTCATTTGCGGTCATATGTCTAAATTACACACTGCTGATTTTTTTTTGAAAGTTCCCCAGTCTTCTCAGACTCAGTCTTCCAAATACGCATTTGGTACCAATTCTGACTGTGGGTGCTGGCGCGCGTAAACACTCGCACGCACACACACACGCACGCACACACACACACACACTCTGAGGATTCACACAGTAACCTGTCTATATGGATGCAGTGCGCGCCCAGCTGATGGACACGCAGTTGGACAGTGGTGGCAGTGTATTGGGTTACACTGGGTTACTTGGTTGGAGCTGCTCCAACAGTGTGTGTGCCTGCTGCACATCTGGAACA